GGTTCGTTGCTCGCGATCCGAAGTAAGTAAATTCCCTCGTCGATTTTCTTGTAATATAAAGACGATTGTAAAATAGCATTTGTTATACTCTTCTTAGCCTGTAATGTAAATTAGACAGAAAAGTGGTCGACACGCTGTGTATATACGTTTAGATGAGCGAAGAGACCGGTCGTTTCGGTACCGATCGGTTCGATCGTGTGCCGCTTTATAAAAAAATTCGTACACGTACACACACACAACACAAATAAGACACACACACGCACACACGCGCGCACACAATAACACAAAGAAACAGAAATCTCTTTGCCACGTGTATTCGATGTTCTCCCTTGGAAACCGGAAACAAACGATCGGCCGCCTCCGTCGTTGGAAATCGATGACACGGCGGTGGCCGGTCCGCGTTCGAAAGCCCCCATTTATTATTCGCTCATTGTTTCCACGCAATTGTGCTATTTGTAGTTGGGAAGTTGGCTGGTTGGATGGAACGCGGTTGATGGTTATTAATTTACCAGTCGCAGTGCCGTAGAATTGTCTTCCTTCGGTAGATAATTCCTAATACGGTGTTTCGTTATCGACTGAAATCAATCGAACGCAATTGACAGACTGAATGTTCGTGCGCTGGCATATGTATGTACGTATGTATGTGTTTCCTGACGCGAGCGATTAAAGAGCAACGATAGTTTCACCTAAGAGAGAGAGTTAGCCACGTAGATCACAAAAGTACAAATTTCGAAAGTTAAAGAATTAATCGACGGCGTTGGTTTTAATCCCCAACGGAGTAAAATGACCCTGGAAAACATTCAGGGCGAAACGATATTCAAGGTGACACGTAGTTGGAAATATAATCGACGTGATATTGAATTATCCGCGAATGCACGAACGCAACGAGGTCCAGTCTAGTTTGACATTTAGCGGAATGTCACGCCAGTCAACTTCACAGCCGTGCCGTGAATACACCGAAAGCCATGTTATACGTTCTTCTTACGCGCTTCACACATCTTCACGGATCTTTACGTACGGAACGTCTTGGAACGGATCTCGAATTGACGCGAGGCGACACACGTCACAGCGTGCGGCTGGATTTGCGACGATCGATTCAGCTTCAGCGAAAATTATGGCGGTTGAAACGAGAGGGTAGGTTTATTTTTAAAATTAGGAATCGCGCGATACATCTCGAAGTCGAGTCGACTTCAAGAGATTTCTGGCGTTCAATCGATATTCTGCTTTTCGCTGTTGTTCGCAAAGTTTCTCAAGTCTGACAGAGATAAGTTTTTCCCGTTGTCCAACGTCGGGGTTCAAAGATGACAATTTCTCGGAATTTTTCGCGTCGCGCGAAACGTGCAATATTTAGTTCGTTCTTAAGTAGTTCTTTGTCGCGCGAAATTCGTTGCTCTCGATAGTTTTTTTGGGTAAATAAATACACTGCGGCAGCTTCCAAGTTCTCTTCTGTGTAATCCAGATTTGCTGTCGATCGACGTCGAGTGCATTTCTCCGAGGGGATGATGCTCCGACTGTCGTCCCAAGATTTCCCCATATACTTCGAGAGATAGAGTTCTCCGAGGAAGCTTCTTCTCTCTGTTTTCCTTGAACAGTGTGTTTCTGCAATTTAATAAGTCAATTTTCTCCTCCGTCTCCAACGAAATTCGTGTAAATTAATAGAAACTCTCGACGCACAGGGAGGGGAGTTAAGAAGAAAGAAGAAAAGAAAAAAAAGGGGTCAATGCAAAAGATTCGCGAAGGGAGCTCTCTCTCTCTCTCTCTCTCTCTCTTTTTCTTTCGCTATAGGCCAGTGGAACGACGAAATCTCGCTAGCTCCGAAACATTCAACGAAAATAAATTTTCACGGACGACGACGACGGCAGCGGCAGCGCGTACAAGCCCAGCCATCCGTGCGGCCGAGGCACACGTACGTTTTACACACAGGTACAAAGTGTCGCGAAAAGTGAGAAAAATTACGGTACAGGGTAATTTGATATATATACCTATATACGATGCACTACCTCAGTCAGAGACAAGGCTTTTTACGCGATATAAAATTTCTAATTAATCGCATTAGCGGGCGAGAAGAAACGAGAGGGTGGGAGGGAGGGGGAGGACGCGCAGGCGCGACCGCGAAAACCACTCGAGATTTTTCCCTCGTGGTGTGTGCTACGTGACAGAGGTTTTCCGGTCGCGACGTCCGTTTCACGCGGCTCGAACGATAAACGCGATAAAACGACCAACCCTCTCGTAAAACGCGCGCTTCACCCTCTCTCCCTCCCCTCTTGCCCCGATTCTTCCGTTTTAGAAAAGGAATGAGGGAAAAAGAAACGAAGACGAACCGAAGGAAAGAAGACTATTATCCCTCGCTCGTACACTTGCTCTGCTGCGCGTTTGTTTGGTCGTAGTCGATCGAAACTTTTTCTCGGTCGTTGATTCGTACCTGAACGCATGAACGTAAAACGCGGTGTTTCAATCGGTGACTTTTGAAGAACCGGTCCGCCTCTTTCACAGGGCTGAGACTTCCTTTCGGGATGAGAGGTACACACGTATCGTAGAAAGATGATAAATCATCGTGATTAGGTTGTTCAGTATTCTGTAGACTTTGTTCGAACGACTGTCTTATCGTGTCTCCGACGCTTCACGCCATTGTCAAATGAAAATTTTACAGATATGTAAATGGTGGTTTGAAACATATCTTTCATAACTTTGAGTACCGCTGATCGATCATCCTCCGTTCGTTTCCTTTCGCCATTTCAGTTTTGAATCGACGAGTCACTAGGAGAGGAACTGCTGAACAACGTACCTAACGTAGTCTGTGTCTTTATTCAAGCTGTTAATAGCTCGACGGATGTTAATAACAATAGCAAACAAGAAGATAGAAAACGACCAGAGCCTCGCGATATTTCGACACTGGAATGTTAATTCGCGATCGGTTCCAAGACACTCTGAACAACATTTTGTTCCCATCGCCGAAGCATTACTATCCCGAGCACATGTGTATATGAGTGTTACGCAACAAGCATCCGTTTAATTAGACTGTTCGATTCTCCAATGAAACAGCTTTCGCTCCTCCCCCTTGAGAAGAAGAAAAAGAAGAAGAAGAAGAAGAAGATGAAGAATAAGCCGCCGCTTTTCCTGCCGCGAGCAACTGTCGCGTTATACTTGTCGAGAACGTCGTTGTCGAGTCTCTCTTGTCAAAATAGGTGACGAGCTGTAAACGACTTTGTCAGTCAATAAGTGTATAATTAAAGAACGTCGTCGACGACGAGACCGAGACACGTGATCGTGCCTCGTCGTTGTTCATGGACGATTTTCGTCTTGTACGGCGCCCGCGCACCTGGTGTACCGCAATTCGTTTGAACGTTTTCTATGGCGAACGGGGGATTGTGTACTGTACATTAGTAAATTTAAATTTTTGGATAAAAAAAAAAAAAAAAAAAAAAAAAAAAAAAAAAAAGAAAAAAATTTAAAAAAAAGTGAAAAAAAAAGAAAAAAAGACAAGGGGAAAGAAGGCGAAACAAAAGAAAGAGAACGTTAACTGCTGGTGAACGAGGTAACAAGCCGAATTAGGGGAAAGAGAGAAAAGAAGGAAAGATCGCTTGTCAATGAGCGAGCACGCCCGCCATTCTGTCGGTTCTCCAATGATCGAGAGCCTCGGTTCTCGACGTCGTACATTTCGTTCGGATTCGCATCGACCACTTCTGCATTCACAGTCGTTTTAGGCAAAACAACTCGAAGCTGTTCGAGGCGTTATTTCCATCTGATTTCGCGAGCGATCGTCGCGTTTCTTTGCGCAATTCCCTCGTTTCTTGTTCCTTGCATCCGCACGATCGCCCGTTCATTTTCCCTTTCTCTTTTTGCATTTCGACGGGACAAAAATCTTGAATTTCAAAAGAAATTTGCGCTGAACCACGTGTAACGTGGCTTCTTCAAAGCGTTTTATTTCGTTTTCTGTAGTAGATCGGCTCGTTAAACGTTTCCTGTTGCTCCTTCGAAAAGGAAAAAGGAAACGTTTCAAGAACGGTGTCACGTATACGAGAAACAACAACAACGTTACCGAGTTTTAAGAACGCGATGGATCGTATGTATATATATATATGATATATCTCGGTGCAACGAAATGGAATTTGAAATTGTATCCGTTGGCGCGTCAATTCTTTCAATTTTTGTTGTTGTTCGTTGTTTTGAATAAAGCTTAAAGACGTTGACGCAAGTTTCATTTCGTTGGTGTTACTTTGAAATGATTGATCCTCATTCAAGCAGTGACGCGGAAGTGGTCACGCAGTTTTCTTATTATCTGTAATAATAATACTGATAACGAATACAGTGTATGAGTATTAACAAATTTATTAACGAGAATAATATATTATTGCGACAGTAATCTACGTAAGTGTTGTGAATAATGGAGATAATATTGTTGCTGTGATTACCTTTAAGATTGTAAGTAGTAGGATATAGAACAACTGTTAGGTGTCACTGTCTCGATTCAATAAATGTTATTTCATTTTAATGACAACGCAACTCATCTGCATTCGTTCAGTAACACCATGAACCTTGTCCGCTGTCGTCCTACGAGCGTCATCCTTTCTAGTAATTGAGTAAACTCTAAACTCTAAAAACGTATAGAAATCCGAATTGCGTCTCAACGTTTCGAGATTATAAGGGAAACCTCGCTGTTCTTGTTTTTCCTCTATCGCCAAAACTTGTTTTTTTACTTGTTTTCTAAATTAAAATATCTACCTTTGTTTGTATCTCTACACTTTTTTCACTGACTGAGAAGCATTCTTTACTTGTTCCTTTTAGATTGTTTTCATCAAGCAGGCAAGTGGTAATGCCGGAAAATTAATTTATTTAAATATCATCCTTCGCCACGTGTTGGTAATTCATTTGTTCATTTATTATGAATAATAATAAAAATTTATTTTACAGATGGAGGAAACGGAAAATGTCCATTTTGCCTGGACGCTCTTCAAGTTACGTTTATACATTTATGAGAAATTCAAATTGATTACGAGATAAACGGGACATATGTTACATATACTTATTATTATTATTATTAAGAACTATTATTTGGTTGTTTTAGTTACAATAAATTGCATTTCGCACACAAGCTCGTAATATCGTCTTACATATAATAATTGCAACGTAAATATAAATCATGAAAATGAAACAGTCTATTAGTGTTAACATAAAATTAAACGTAACATAAGATTTTTTAGAAATGTGGAAGTAATGGATCAGTTTCTACTAGTTCACTACTATATCCTCTTGAGCACCATTGTTTCGAGAAACGAAACAGCGCTAGACATGACCACAGCACGATAAGGCATATATCTAAAAACAAAACAATTTAATTAATCGTGGTCTGTCAACGGGACTTTCACAAGAGAGTTTGATAAAATAAATTCTAGCAAAATATTGTAACGAATAAAGTATAAATATATAAAAGATAAATACCTATAGTGTGAATTGGAGGTCCGATAATGGCTAAGTTAAATCCCTCAACGGTAATCCTCCTTATAAAGTTTATTATAATATATTTCAGAGTAGAACCAATCCAATAATCAAGCGACAGGATCACCATGAAGGACGAGAATGTTGCACACGTAATAACAGAAGCAACGTCATCAAATAACAGTATGATCAAAGCTATACCAAGACTCAAAAACACGAAGAAGGTCCAAAAAATCCCGTTGTTCTGTAGAATTGTAAACGAATCTGAAAAAGAAGAAAAAAAAAAAAAAAAAAAAAAAAAAGCGGAGAAAATTCAAAAATTCGAATCGTCAAATAAAATCTTTGGCTTTGTAGTCGTACTTTCGTGCCAGTTTTCTTATACTTGATAATTATCCGGACGAGACACGCACGCGGTTACACAAACCACGGAGAACGCAATCAAACTGTGCGAAAGGCGGCGAACAGAGAGAGGGTGACCAAGTGGATCATCTGTCGACAGGGTGGATCGGGACCGATACTCGGTGCAGTTACGCATGCATAGACCGTGTAATCTAAATAGGTCCTGAAGCTAAATAAATACGGGGGACACAATTAGGTAAATGCGAATCTTTCAAGCTGGTTAGATTGGTTCGTGGGAGTTGGCGCAGAGATCTCGGGGCCTGTGTGTGCGCGTTTCTCCACGCGATGATTTTTACTGTACGTGTGAGCATCTACGGGTGTGTGCGCGCGCGTGTGTGTGCGATAGTGACGGAGGGTGGTTATGGTGAGAAAGGTAGGAGGTAACGCGAATGCCCGTCACTGCTGCATGGGGGGATTCGGCAGACGAAGTTTCCACATGAGCGAGCAACATTGATAAAAGCTACAGGGGGGACTCTCTGACTGTGTTTCATCCCTTCGCCAAACTCCCAACTAACTTCGGGGGCGGTGAGCTCTCTCTTCCTCCCTTTCTACCTCTCGCGCCCTTTTCTTTTCCGCGCTACCTCTCTCATCCGCCTTTAAGCCGGCTTTCATTATTTTCCTATAATTTACTACATCCGTTGGTGATCTTTCCTCGAGCGGTATCGTACGGAATCGTTTCGTTTCCGGATACGTTTACCGGTAATTTCGTTTTGGAAGTGTGTCCTCTTCAGGACAGGAGAAGCCTGTTTCGTACCTGGGGAGTTGAAGTAAACGACGCATCCGAAGAACCAGCCTAGCGTCAGATTTAATATTAGCTTGTTGAAAATCGAGATAAGTTTGGACGCTATCCACACTACTATGAAACCCAAGCCCATTAACAGAGCAAGTCCAATGTTTCCTGCAACAGGCGGGATACGTGTTGTTGTTACATGTCAGGAAAAATGTTCGAATAAAATATTTATATGTATACGAAAGAATTTTTCTAAAATTGTACATCCATTCATTTTGAATTGATTTATTTAATCGTCTGATTACGCGGGATGATCGTTCAACATGAAGCAAACAGTCAGATTCAAATTGTTAATACCTAGTGCAGCGTAACCGATCACAGTTCCCATGAAGAGCATCGGTACTGCCATGTCGATAAGAATTTGATAGTGACCCAGGCACAACGATAATAGTCCCACGAAGAAACAGAGTACACAGAAGAGGTTCGACCAAAAACCGGCTGAAAGTAATCACACAATAATGATTATTTTTCGCGATCCATACCAATTATGAAAGTTAGAGAGGAAAACGCGTTAAGTTCGACAATTTCCAAAAAATTGGCAATTCGATGAATTAATTTCGGTTAAGAAATATTCGTATATTTCACATATGTCCTCCTGGACAAACGTACAATGTTGTGTTTGAGGTGCGTACTAGATAACGAGGTTAACATTAATATTGGAAAAATGAATGAACTTATCGCGTTTTGTTCGTATGATTCCTGTATGCGTAATGAAACACGTACATAAAATTTTGCAAGAGTCAGGATCAGTTATGGGATGACAGGCGTATGAGAAAGCTGGCACATAGGCCGCGGAATAGTCTCCGTAAGTAGCCACTGCGACGTAAACCGAGCCAACACCAGTGTACGCGTTGAACACTCGCCTCATCGGCGAGAAAACACTGGAACTCGTTACCTAGTGGGAAAATATTTTTTTTCACATTAGAATCGTAAACTTGGAATTTACACAATGTTCATCGATATATTTTAGTTTGAATATATTACGCGAGTGCACGTTTGATTAATTATGTACATGATGCCAATGATAATAATAATTTGCTACCAACTTTTCGCATGTAATGTGGAATTATTCAATTAATTCAATGATTAATCAAAAGTACACGTTATTTGTAAGTATAATTAGAATAGTGGTTAATAACAAAATTGTACGATTCTGTTTGAAACAGTTTAATAAAGATATTTTCAACTTTTAATTGTACTTTGTTCTTGAGATCGAACGATTTTCGTACTGTTGACAGTTGAAACAATTATTAAAAGGCAAGACGTTCGATCGATGAAAATTGGTCAATCCGATTGATTCGAGCATCGATCGTCGAAGGAGGAATTATTTTTCTTTCAATTTAACATTCAAAATGGTATAATTATTTACGATTCGGTTAAAGAAATGAACTTGATGTTGAAAATTTCGCTTGAAACAGCAAACGAGTGACTTAATGAAGTTGCTGAGTCGACAACTAATAAACAAGTATGGATGTTTGCTTTGCCGATAGTCACAAAAGTAAGTTGGGCTATATTCTTTGTACATATGTAATTCTTATACAGTTAGTTATCGCTTTAGCATTGTTTTAAGAAAGAACACGCTGTTTGCTAGATTTTCTCCCATCAGTGAATTAAAGAGAGAACACTAGAACTGCTAAGAAACGACAATTTATTTTCATAGAAATTGTTCAAAAAAAAAAAAAAAAAAAAAAAAAAAAAAAAAAGAAATAAACAGCTGAATAAAAGTTGGAAATCTTGCAATACCTCCACTCCGTTCTCCTTGATATCCGTGACAGTCAGCATGTTTATGATAGCCGCGAAATAACTATCGAGACTGAAGTCCCAGCTACTCAGGAACATGTGATACATCTCGACCGTCACCACGTTCTTTTCGCAATTGGGTCGTACGCTGTTGAACGGTGCCGAGGCAGGTTGTACGTCGACGATGATCATCGTGTCGCCTGTCTGTACCATCGCGTACGGCGCGATTTCGGTATTAAACTCCATGTTGCATCCACCCGGTACGGGTGCTGCGAAGAGAACAATGAACTCTGATGCACCACGAAATTATCGAGCCCGTTTTCGTATCTGTATGTGAAATAGAACAGCCGATATACAGGCTGGCCCGGTACTTATTACCACTTGAATAGCCGCGATTGCCGGACATTTCATCAAATTTAGATAATATCGGAACAGTTCGTTGCTAGAAATTGTTTCCAGAGCATTCGGACGAAAGTAGAAATTTACATTTTTGTTAAATACGTGTGCAAATTCTATAAAATTCAACTATTCAATTTAATATTTGTACGAAATTTTTTTTTTTTTAATTGTTCAACTATACTATTGTCTTTTTAAATTATTTTTATTAATACTATGTTATTTTAGATATCCAGATGTTATTTTCAATCGACGCGGAGAGAGAAATGTTATAAAAATTCTTTCGCGATCTTTTCGAAATATCATTGACACAAGTTAAACGTGTAAATTTCATAAGAGAAATTTCGACATTGCACGTGGAAAATATCTTGGGGTAATAAATTCAAGTTAAGCTTTGTCTAAATATTGAAATATGAAAATTGTAGTTAACTATAACTGTATTTTCCACGTTGTAGCTTATCAAGTACATCCTTTAGGAATAAAATAACGCGAGGTGTGTCGCTTTTATCACAAGCACGTTTCTTTCTTTATGGCGTGATACTCTTTCGACGAGCACGAGGATTAAGGAGTGTAGAGCCATTGAAAGCCATTTTTAATCTCTTTGTATCGCAACAGTGGAGCACATACCAACGATGCGAATTGTGGCCACTCGTGAAGAAAGCAATGGGTGTGAATGCTAACAATAGGGGTTGGATATAGGTGATACATTTAGAAGTCCTAAAACATGGTTACGATTGGAAATTGGTTAAAGCAAATGGAATTTAGAAATACAAAAACTAGAAACGTAGAAGGATTAAAAAATTATTCCAATTATCGATGTTTTGTAAAACAAAATTAATAGTCGAGGATATTGCGGAAACATAAAATTTTAAATTTAAAATTTTCGAGTTAAACTGAACTTGTGTTTGTTTTGAAAGAAAATCTATGCTAATGAATTAATGCAGAAATATTTTTAGGTATGTTGCAACGATAACAGTAAATGGATCACCCTGTATATCGTTTCATATTGTTTGAAACATGCAACGATTTGAATCAATAATCTCGTAATTAATAATTTGTGAATGAAATAAAAAAATTAGAATCGTTCCGGTTTTTAAGATTTATGGCACATGGAACAAAAGAACAATGGGCCTTATCGACAAGTATATACATCATAATCATTATACTCACATTTGTCGTGGTAAGCAATAGCAACGAGTAGAGCCTCAACTTTGTGGACATTATCATTCTTCACGTACAGTTGTGTCACTATATTTGTAGTTAGTTTAGAGAAAAGTCCGACATTTGATCCAAATACACTTCTATTTGAATCAAGATAATCTTTATCATAGGAGAATGTGACATTGTACTGATAGGTATGAATTTGGAAAATAATAAATGAAGCGCTGGAGGAAACGTTTGTTATATTAAACACTGATTTACTATTGGCTTCAATAGCTATTCGTTTTGTATATGGTGAATAATCATGTAGTCTAGTTAAATTCACCTGAAATACACTTCCATCTGTAAAATGTACAGTATATTACAAATAGCTCCTCACTGCAAAGTTCAATTTATTATGTTACTTTGCAACAATTTCAACTATTGCCAAGAGAAACAAATTATAACGTAATTTTGATTTAAATTTTGTTTCTATATATAATAATTGCAAGTTCATTTCTCTTGCAACGGTTTGGAAATTCTTGTGTTGGCGTACATGAAATTTATAAGTAATGTTAATAGTTTCATTTAAATGTTATAAATAATAAGCTTGTTAGTTATATTTAGTTGTTAACCAAGTATCCTTACAAAGTACTGTAATGGTTCTTTTTTTATAAAAGAATTTAAGAACCACAGTACTTTTTAAACACATGTACATTTAATTTTTTTCATATCACTTTAATACAAGTACAAGTAAATATTTGACTATTCTGAAATAAAGATAAATGTGTCTAATTATGTTTAAAAATAAGAAATGAAGATAATGAAATTTAAAAACAACACAAATAAATAATTATGTATGAAATATATGAAATATAAAAATAAATATAAAAAGACGTATAACACGTAAGAAAATTTCATCGAGTAAAAACATTTTTATTAAAATCTTTACATTTACAAATTCGTATTATCTTACATGTATATGACGTACGTGTCGTAAACAAAACACAATCAGAGACGTTATCTTCAAACGTCGTATTGGCCAACAAGGGCAAACACGACCAACAACATTGACTTGCGTTACATATTGAAATTAGTTTTAAAGCGAAAGTTTTTCAGCCTGCTGAGAGCAACTGTACGAAAACGACGGGTCGAGACATGCTATCGAACTTTTGAGGTTATGTGTGTGCTTACCACCGAGGAACAGTGTGTTCGTTAACTTTTCCTTCGCTAAACTGGCAACAACGAGCGATAGAAAAATTAGCAGGTCACCGATAAAAGTGCGGCTCATGTCGATCGGAGTTACGAGCCGCGTGACACACTTATTCGATTAAATTGCTGCAAAACCGAGTCGGCGTGAAGCCACGGAAAATCAGTACGGCGCAACAGCTGGTACTTGACAGTCGGCTACATGCCTGAGCACGGTATACTTCGCGTCTCGGCCGCGCTCGCTCTGTCTCGCTCTCGAACAGCCAATCGCCGTCTGGCCGTCTATCTCCCTCTCCGTCGCGCTGCCGTACGGCAGCCGGTGTTTCGCGAAGTGACCGCAAGGTGGCGGCGCAGTCGGCCCAAGATGGCCACGCTGGATCAATGAAACGCGAGTAATCGTAGTAAAAACAGAAATTGACAAGTGTGCAAGTGAACGCCAGACATTGATTACGGTGTAAATGGGCCATGGGGAAGGACCAGGAGCTGCTGGAGGCAGCGAGAAGCGGAAATGTCACCGTGGTCGAGAAGATTTTGGGTCAACGAGCGAAGAGGAGTGGTCCACTGGCAAGGTGGGTGTCACCGTTCCAGACTTTGCTTTTCCACGCTTCTTTTCCCATTTTCGCACTCGGCACCGCGTTTCACGCGACACCCTCGGTCTCGTGCGCGCGGTGCCGACTCGATTCCACGAAAAATTGCCCGGATGTCTGTCAATTCGTCATGGGAGGACCAGAGTTACGTGTCCACGTTCCTTTCGTATCGGTGCTTGCGATCATCTCTCTGCTCTCGATGATAATGTGTTTACACGGTATTGACTGCCGTGCCGATCGTTTCCTCTCATTTCACATCCCGAACATTTCCGCGTCAGCGGCGATCACTCGCGCGCAGGTGACTGCGTTTTCGGCATAAACGCGAAACGAGGACGAGTCATTACGCGTCGTACCGGTACCTGCGTTGAATTACCTACGCTCGATTGATCGTTACATTTTTTCCAATTAATCCCGACAGTTCGCTAGAGAGATACTCGCGTGGACGCGTGTCTGCTGCCGTGTTTGTACCGTTAACACGGCGCAATCCGTTCCGTTCGATAGATCTCGTATTGAGCCTTTTTGCAACATCAACGATGCTCTGCATGCTGTTATTATCGTTTTTCGTCTCTTCTTCTTTTTTTTTCAAAATTGTAATTATCTCGCAACACGTTTTACATTCCGTGATGATAGCACGGTGGTATTTTTAACAGACGACCAATTTCGCGTCTCGTGGCCAGTGAGCAGAGCAACGATTGAAATAACGATGCGTGCGTTTTATGAAAACTGCAGCAACGTCCGGAGGCTGCTGCCTTTTGCCGCGCAACAATCCGGCGTTCTCATCCCCTGTGATACATATTATACAATCGCCGCGTGGAAATAAACGCGGGCATCGTAATTTTACCGAGCGTAATCAGTTTTGCTCTGAATATCTGTATGGTAAAATAATGCGCCCGTATGCGCGCGCGTTAGCCGCGTTATTGTCCAGTGATTATTCATGATTTCACCGTGACCATGAATCACCCCTCGCCGATGCGTTCGCGACGTTTACGACGACACACGCTGCCAAGATGCGCTGCGACACACGAACGTGCGCAACCGATCCCACCGTCAATTTGTTAACCTCTTGCGCCGGAATGATGTGCCACACACGTCCAGAATTTTTTGTTCCAAATTGCAACATTTTCTCAGTTTTCAAATACATTTAAATGTAACCCAGGCGAAACGAATGATAAGTTTATCACTTCTTAATAATTTCTATCCGGTGAGTTTCAAAGGAAAAGAAAGGCGACGAATTATTGTATACGGTTCGGTCACTCGTTATGGTCCGCGAACCAGTTGCCAGCGCAAGGGGTTAAAATTCGTGGCGGACGTTTTAAGCGATTGCACGCGTAACTCTCCTTTTTGGATATCGGGGCCGGAGAGGGCTCGCTCTCAATTTTACTAGCGATGAAATTCAATCGAATCGATAGAGATAAAACGGACGAGAGAAATCGGGGTCTGTGCGTCTGGAAGCACGTAACTATATAAGAAGCGTTTCCTTCCGACTTATCGGATCCTGCTTTCTCCTTTCTATTTATGGGAGCAGATAAACAGGCCTATTTGGGCAGCCGTTTATTTTCAGGGGTCAATGATAAACCACGGTCGCGACAGATTTCGGTAAAGATGGCGCGACCGAGCTGAAATATTTTCGTCCTTATCCTCTGCGATGGAAATAACTTAACTCTGTGTTCGCGTTAATTGCATTTGGAGATTAGTGACGAGAATATTGAAAAGTCGACTTTAACCTCTTAATTATTGAACGCCACTGTAGTGGTTTTCGCATACATACATCTTTTTGAACGGTATGCCTACTATAGTGGCTCACTTGTTTCTTACTAACCGAGAATGTACGCACTGTTATGTTGTTGATTTTTCAAATTCTTTATAAAACAAACCTGAATTTATTCGTTCTTTCAATTTCAAAATTTTAACTTATTCGAAGTTTATTCGAGCGTAATTACATAGTGTAAAGCATCACCGGATATAAATTTCATTATTATCAATTCACATAATTTGCGTCAGGTCTTGTTAGTTTTACCGTAGATAAGAGAGACGAACTTTTAATTTCAGTTCTAACAAAGAAATTCAATTTAATTTAATTTTATTTTTATTAAATAAAAACAATAATACCCAAAAAAAGAATTAATTTCACAAGAAGAATAACTATTTTTGTAACAGTTTTGCGAATGGAAGTAGCTTTTTCTATAAAACGTAAATTAACTGTTAAAAACGTAATACGTCATTAGCCAAGATAAATATCGAAACGAATAACCTTACTATTTCTTTTTTCCAAAGTAACGTTGGGTAGTATTTTTCTAAAAGTGTAACGCGTTCCGTGCAAAACGTAATAATTGCTGAGCGAGAGAGCAGCGAATCCCATGTTCATCTAGTTCCGGTGCAAAAAGCGCTAGTTGGTCTAATAACTTAGTCATCCTTTCGAGTGGGCACGAAGTTTGGCCTTAAACGCGCTTAGTCATTTAAATAATCGTGCGCGTACTGGTAGCTATCAACGAACCAGCGATATCCACGTAACTCGCGAATCAATTCCACACAGGAACACGGCTCGACAAATCACGACTGTCAACTTCTGTAATCGCCGAGCATCCCGAGTCTTGATCGAACTTGCGATCGTAATGGATTCCTTTGCGGACGGGATCGAGGCAGATCAATGAGCACAGAGGAGACGCGATTAATCGAAACTGTCGGTCGGCTGGGTGCCGCGTCTTTATTGACCCAGTCCCGCGCCGCGAACTTCTCGACAAAGACGACTTTGTCGACGCTTCTCGCGCGCGCTTTCATTAATTAAGTCACGCTGGCTACGGGACGAGAGAAACAGCCGTTTGTTTTCGAGTGGTCTTCGCCGCGTGCTCGTGCAGAAGCGGGCGCGCGTGCTTCGAGTGCATTCACGCATTTTAACACCGATTGTCGCTCACGGGTGAAAAAACCCCTTCCGCCGCGGGGGGTGGTTGAAAGAGAAGGAAAAACGAGAAGCGAGAGAAAAAGAAGGGTGACGAATCGGATAGAGGGGATAGAGTGGAAAGTAATACAGGCAAGAAGCACTTTCCCCACTCCTTTCCTCGGCCGGGTGAAAGACGAGAGAGGACGAGAGAGGACGAGAGAGGACGAGAGAGGACGAGAGAGGTTGGAGCCGAGGAGGACAGAGCGTCACGTCGGGATCAAGCTCGCGACGAGTCCTAAATGTATCACGACCGCGACACGGCTCGCGACAAAAGCGTCCCTCTTCTAACAAATTGCCTCTTTGCTCGTCACCAGTCGCGCAACTTGTCCATAACTACAAAGCTCGCCCACGGCAACTTTCTCTTTACCCAAAGCTCTTTTTACCCCTTTCTCTCCTCACAGTATCTGCTCTCCTGCTTCATTTCGTCTCCTCTCTTTCTCTCGTCCTCCTTTATCCTTTGTTCCCTCGAAGCCCGACGCTCCAAGAGATCACAAGAAAGCAATATAAAACGCGCTTGCATCCCTCGCCTCGCGCGGCAACGAGGAGAAATATCTTGCGATGCTAATCGCGCCACTTCTCTCGTGCACCCGGCCTTCCGGTGCCCGCGAATGTGTTTATCCTTTGTTTGCACGGCGTGTTGACTTTGGGTCGGGCAATAATTTTAATCACGGCCTTCGGGGGCCACCCGGCCGGGGGTAGCTTCCCTCCGATGGAAACGTCGCCTCCGGCTACCTGGTCTCCCGCGAACCAGAACTTTTAACGTCATTGGCCGGCCGCGATAACTTGGCCTCCCTTTGATGTCTCCTGGGCGCACCGTTGGCCCGCCGCGGAATCCACTTCCTATCCACCCCGACTAACTCGCTTTTTAATTTATGATCGTGGATTTGATAAAGCTCGTTCGACGGTTTCTCCGATCCGGTAATAAAGAATTCAATCGATCCTCGTTTCTTTCGTTCGTTTCACGAGTTCGTCGTCGTGTGGAAGGGCGTGGGAAATTAGGAAATTTATGCGGCGAAAGAGACTAAACTCGAGTCAATTTCTCAATTGTCAAAGTTGAGCAATTCAATATTCGCTTGTACATCGTTTCTATTCATGTCAGATTCGTTTTTCGTTGTCTCTGGAATCGTATTAAGTTTTCGAGTTACTAGAAAGACAGAGAGACAGAGAGACAGAGAAAAAGAGACAGAGAGGTGGGACTCTAACGATTCTATTACACTCGACCGATATCGCCCGTAATGTTTTGTTCGCTCTCCGCTCTTCCGGAAGAAGGAATCGATGCGTTAAACGACCGACGAGGGGATAATTAGTCGACAGACGAGGCATTCTGTCACGACGAGGACGTTGGCTATGTTCGTTTCTATCGTGGATCGATGAACGATCCTCCCTTCGAAAGACGGAGAAAGAGAATACAACAGAAAGAAAGAGAGTGAGAGAGAGAGTGAGAGGTCCGCCCTTTTCCCTCGAGAGGTGCGAAACTGCATAAAGTGCAACTAGAAGAGAAGTCCCCCTGGCCGTTCTTTTTCTCTCACCTTTCCGGAGTGACACTTGGAGTGTTTGCGAGGAAGGACCTTTTCGCGACATCAGCACGTATCGCAGCCCCTCTTCCACGCCGGAGGAATTTATCGATTGACGCTCTCTAACAGCCCTCGCGTGTCTTCACCCTCGCCGCGTTTCGGCCCCTGCGTGTCTACCATTTCTCTCTCTCTCTCTCTCTCTCTCTCTCTCTCTCTCTCTGTCGTCTCGTCTCGCTTCTTATTTCCTCTTCTGCCTCTTTCTATTCTGTTTTCGATTATTCCCCTCCGAACACTGTCTCGTGTACGTACATACGTACGGGCATCCCATTTTACGTTATTGCTTCCTCGTTGTCTCGTAATTCTCGTCTGCTTTACCATTCCTTCGCTTATTTTTATTGCAGGTACACGCTGTTTCTATTTTCTTTTTTTTTTTTTTTTCTTTTTTTCGTCTGACATTCTTTCTCTTTTTCGTGTCCCATGAATTTCGTCAGAGAGCGAATTTCGTTCTTTCTCCATCACCGATGGATCGA